CTGTACAATGCGTAAGAAGTAAATAAATGATCGTACATGTAATTGAAGTTCATTGCTTGCACTTAAGACTATTTATTATGCTCATTTTCTCAAAACGCTTATGGTGCATACAATACACTCACTGCATACCCGTGTTATTGAACTTCTTATGAATGAGTTTTATAAAATAATCTGCCTTATTATCATATTTTTCCTCGAAAAGATCACATTTTTTAACTAATACTGTTCAAGTTTGGTGAAAAATGAGATATGAGAATGTTCTGTGGTTATTATTGAATTGATATATTCATTACAGAGGCGATAAACAAAAGAATGAAAGTCACTTTATTTAGTTGTGCTTTTGTCATAAAATATCAAAATTAGAAACTTTTGCCACTAAAGAATATTTGACACATTTGAATCTATTTATGGACGCCGACGTCTCTCTTTACCAATGACTTGCGAAGTTGTATACTAGTCATTTCGATAAGAAAATAGTACATTAAATTTTAAAATTTGATATATTAAGCAACAGATATGTACATCCGGGGACCTTCAATATGACACATTCTGCTATTCCTTGAAAAGTGACGTATTTTCTATGAGTAGCATGAAGTGTTCGCACTAAAGAGGAAACGTAAAGAAAGAAAAGGGATAGTAACAAATATGATTTATACCACCTCATGATGTCGAAGATGAATTATTGGAATCTAACTGAATGTTGCCCTTTTCTTAAATAAGTATTGTATACACACTTTATATACAAAATGATGATGGTCAAACAATCAACGAAAAAGCTGTCTTATTAACAATTAATTGGTGATACAGTATTTATCGCAAAATGATCAAATACTTAAGGATCATATAAATTCAGGGATTCTGTTTTTCTCTATTCTATCAAATTTATTGCGGCTATTTTGCTGTAAAGTATTTTGAAATATTTCCTTTCGGATTGTTGTGCTTTTCTATTATTAGCATATTACTAGAAGAATTTCACTATATCTCAGGCACCGATTATATGTCAAAGTAAGATGGAATGGATAAATTACAACCGTAATAAAGTTTTGTCGTCTGAAGCATTAAGGTCTGGAATCTGTTCAAACTTTACACATAATTAGGCAGATTGTTATACGGAGTACAAATGCCCGCGTTTGTCCTAATTTCAAGTTTTATAACCACAGGCTTCACATATCTGCTACTGTATTTTGACTTTTATGTTCCGTGTACATATCAGTATATATGTTTGTATTTATTGAAATGAGGCGTAGTTGCGTAGAATAAAATAATAAGTCATTTTAAATTCGTTTCATAAACGTTTTTATTGAAACTCTACCTTTAAAAAATAATGACAGATTTGGCTTTCGGAAAAAAAACATCTGCAGACTACAGAATTATTTTAAGGCATTTTAGGATACAAATTCCTATGGATTTGTGTCAAGGGCTTTTCGTTTATGTGGTGCGTCAGATTTAACTTGCTGGATAAAAGTGATAGTTAAACCGACATTTTCAACAAAGGAGAAGTAGCTTAAGTATCATAATTTCTTTATGGTAGACAATAAATTGCTGCTGATTATGCCAGATCCGTTGGCAAAACGGTCAATGATGACAAAGAAGGCCTTAAGTGATAACTGGTTTTTCGGTTACCTTAACCGTTAACAGACCTCAAACTTCTCAAATAGTGCTCGCGCTAAAAGTGCCTTTCAGGATACAAAAGACAAGTGCTGTCTGAGCGTTTAGATATTTTGGATATAATGTTAATGAACCTGGCAAAAACATAACACTATTCATCAAAGATGTTTGCTCCAAGTTAATCAAACCCTCGGGATATCACTTGTACATTTTCAGCTATTTGAGTAGCAAGTGCTATTTGAACCGTTGTATGTCTTCCTTCCTATGAAGCGGTTGGTAGATGATCTGTTACAAGGTCAGGAACTGTTACTGATAAAGGGTGGCTTTTGAACATAACATATGGAGAACCGTTTTGTTAATACCTCCTTTAAGGTGAAACAACAAATATGAAAATTCGCAGACTTGTATAAAATATGAAAAGCGAGATCAGCAAGGAAATTGAAAAGCCAACTTCTAGGGACGTTTTTTGTCAATTATAAATCACAAATTGATATGTAAACTTAATGTATGAACCATGTGTGGCAAATTAGCTGTTATAACATTTCAATATGACATGCTATGAATTTATTTGATTTTACCATGTACATGCAATATATATAAGACTGTACTCTCAAACATTCAATACTTTGACAATATCATGATTTATGAAATCAAAAGAAACCGTTTTGCCTAACTGTAGACAAAACATTGCCTTTATAACAATTGTGTCTTCAATCTTCCTATGTCAGACGACTTACGCCTTAAGGGAACAACATCACTCATATAGCATTCCAATATGACATAAGTAATTCCTAAAAAGACGGATGGCATAAATTCCACAACAAGTTAAGTAGATATAAATAGTTGAAGAAATATATTAAGTGAATATCCTTATTGATAAATTCAGTCAGTCCAACACTTTCCACAGAATGACATAGCAAATAAAAATATGAAGGTCATGCGACTGATTATATACGTAAGGCTAGTCTGTAAAGTAAGTCGTAAGAATTTTAGAATTAATTGAAATTTATTAATTTTCCAGTTCTTTGAATTAAAATGTGCTTTTCTTTCTACATATGTATTTTACAAAAATGTACTTGCATCGATAAACATCGAGCAACTCATCGGCTGTTTAATTTTCGTTTTCCTATCAACAGTTATTGAATGAGTTTTGTGTGTTTAACAACAATATCTAATTAAATTTACAAAGACAAGAATGATTCTTTCACAATAATATGTAACAACTACACTATGTTTAATCATTTAATTCTTTCCTTTTATTTAATCGAAATAATGTGTCATAGTGATTTAAATGTGACCTTTATTATCATAAAAAATGTTTAGAAAAAGGTGAATAAAACGCCACTACAAAACAAACAAAAATAAACAACAAAAACAGGAATAAAGTGAACATTTGTATTCGTTTAAATCTAAGAAATGGAAGGCTGAATAAACACTTGGCATCTTAAACGGCATATGCATAATTTTCCAATGAATTAAGCTAAAATGTTAACATATTTGAATCTAGGTTCAATAACCTTTTGTAAATGTGTAAAATGACTTTAATTTGTTTATTTATGAAAGAGTTTCAATTTGTATTCTTTGTATGTTTTATATTTGCATCGTTTAAATATATTTCTTACAAACTAAATCACTATTTACATATTGTCGTTTATTTCGGAATGTCGACCTCATGTTAATTGGAAAAAACAATCTCTTATAATGATATAAATGATCGGAGAATGGTGACACTTAAAGTGATGAACAACCGTATTACGTACAAGATGTATACTGAGACATCAAAGAAATTGGACAAAACAATGACTGATAGATAATTGAGAAAATTATGAATGGGCTGAACTAATTCTAATGCAAATAACAAATACTTTCCTGTGCGGGAGACATAAATGAAGCAATAAGAATTGGATTAATTCTACAAGCCTCTTTAATATTCGATATTAACAAAATAGTTCCACGTTTTACATTTAATCGAACGCAAATAAATAATAAAAAAGCAAAATAGAGCAAGGCAACGAGAGTTTTTAATCTTAATTTTCGCAACAAAATTTATTATTTATATTTTTCACTTGGTACACTAATATCTTATTTTTTCTGAGAACATATATAAATCAATGTCGAAATGACTTTTATTTTCGGATTTCTTCTTAAATGTGTCATCCTGTATGTCTTGAAGGCATCTTAAATTTTTTATACATATGTTGCTAGATATATGAAACATATGTTCAATGACATTTGATATATAACATAATATTTAAGTCATGAATCAAAACACATTCATATGAGAATTTCTAAGGGAATATTCCTCTCGGTGTTCCAGATGTTCACGTTTTTACTAAGAAAAAAAACAAACAAACGTTGCTTGAAATAATATACTTTTACGGAACAAACAAATAATATAAATAGTGTACGTGTGAACGAATGTTTGTTTGCAATTCTGCTTTCATAACCGTTTTTGAAGGAATGATAAATGTTGTCATCTTAACCAGTCATGAGTTGTTGTTTTGAAATAACTAGAATTTCATATATTTATTAAACAACTTATGGTTTAAGTTTACAATTCAACAATATATACAAATGACGGACAGTTGTTAAGATGGTTGTAGGAAGTAGTTAGATGTTAATGTCTCTAACAGTAACCCTTCAGATACGTTCAGATGTCACAAACACATTATCAATAATTAAGCTGTTATTAGCAAAGGTAGATGTTTCAAATTTAATTATCTGGCAAGGCAGCTCCCTTTATAAAGACATATTAATGTAACGCGTTTTAAAATTGTTATAATGCCAGTCCAAAGCAAAGTTAAAACATGAAAAATAAAAGTTTACATATATTCCCAGCGTTAATATGTCTGATTATTTTACAGAGAGTTGCAAAAAGGGAGATTTCATTGACTTTTATATCAGAATGTGTTCCAAATAACCAGATATGTAAGATCAACCTAATGCGATCAAATACTACATAACATGTGTTTCATATGTGGTTAAAAAGTTTAACTAAAAACAATTGAAAAACACTGATAAATGTTTGCCTCTTTGAAGATATTGCTTGTTGTGTTGATTTCATTTATATCTATTATATATAGATCCAATAACGGTTGATTTTCATCCCAAATAATCTGTTTGTGACACATTTGCACGGGGAGGTTTAAAAGTGTCTAATTCTGATTGTCCAGTGGTTTTTCCCATTAGAAATCAACATTTTTTATTCTCCGTGATAATACTATTGTCTCAAAAGAGTTATAAATGTCCTTAATTGGACAAATTGTCGCCTGTGAATAGGAAATGAGATCGGGCACCTTCCGTAGAAAATGTTTTGTCATTCCGTTATACTCGGAAATTATCGATAAAAAGCAGATCACAGCTGCGATAGAGAGAAAAGATGTTGGACAGCGTTTAGAAGCGTATTGGGGTTTGCTATCGAAGGAAATATTAAGGCAGGGATGCGGATTCAGATTATCTTAACAGGTTTTCTATCTTTAAATACTGAGACAAAAATATTTTTAAGTTTGTTTTTCTCTCACTTGTTTTTTAAATATATTTAATTATTTATGAAATGTGAAAGGATTTAACATGTCCATTATGACTCCAAAATGACAGAGAAATACAGATGTTAATGAAGGGTCAGTGTTTCTAAGATTATAGTCTGAAACAAAATCTTTATAGAGACGGATATAGAAAATTTTAATGTTTTATTTAGTTGATGAACATTTATCATTTATTTTGACAACAATTTTATTTAAAAATACGTAAGTATAAACTATGAATGTGTCGGATGTGGAAACAACTACAATGGCACCGGAGTTAAATAAAACATTTTTTGAAAAGACAAAATCCGTACCAACTGACAGAAGTACCGAACAAATGGTTCATCAAAATATAACCCCACATTACAGCGACTACTACGACTACCCAGATCTTATTTATATGAACTACCCTAGAGAACTTAAAAGCGTGCCAGCCTGGGAGATGACATTAAAAATATCACTTTACGTGGCAATTATTCTATTTGCCATTGCCGGAAACCTTTTAATTATAATTGTTGTGGCAAAAAATAAAAGAATGAGATCGACTACTAATTTTTTCATTGTGAACCTTGCGGTGTCTGATCTATTGGTCACCCTGTGTTGTACCTGGGTTCGTTTAGTTGATGATCTAACAGAAGGATGGGTGCTTGGAAGTTTCTTCTGTAAAGTTAACTCATTTGCACAAGGTATGTATCAAAGAAAATTTTGTGTAAAGTTTATTTCTTAAGATTAAGCACTTTCTGTGCCAACTAGCGACTCAACTATAGGTAGTTGCTTACTTTAATATAAAATCATGCAATAAATATAAAATTTTACTATAACATTATGAAATGAAAATTAGAATCGGTGGTTATTTGAATGTGTATGTATATTTTAAATATCAACAGTTGTTAAATTGATTCAAAGAACAATTGTGAGAATTTTGAGATTTTACTTTAAATAATTATATTAAAGAGTTTGTTCCACATAACAATTTAATAGAAAAAATGTCGCTCATTTTATTACAAATTTACAGTTTTACTGTACTATGTAAAATAAAGATGATCATTAAATCGTTCCTTATTTTAAGAACAATCTGAATGACTTAAGTTTTCTGATATTTATTGTAAGTTCAAATCAACATACATGTTAAATTATTTTCTGTGTTTGATATTCTGCTTTTCAAGAGTTTTATTTATAAAAAAACGATATGTTTTCATGAAAATGAAATCCGTTGTACATAACAAAAATGTTGGTTGCACTGAAAACGTAAAAATATATTTCACTGGGTGAACGCAACATGATTTTATTCTAATTGATTCATTTTCAAAAAAAAGCATTGTGATTTGGTTTAAATCATTAATATTGTATTGCAAAATTTTATTCTATTCATCAAAATTATAATTCTCAAGGTCATAGCAAGTAAGAATATGGGTATAAATGTAATCTGCGTGTTTTATTTTATTAAGTTTCTTTTCATTGCAATGCTAGACTGGGTGTTATGCAGATATGTAATTGTTTATGGCATCTCATGCTATAAATGGCAGTCATGTTTCGAGAAGCATATGACCAGAGAACGTCATAAACTCTATTATGTAAATGTGACAAATTACCACCTAGAGACTTGACAAATTTTTCTGTCTACGCCTTCGTAACTTATGAAATCACTGATTCAATTTCTTGCCACATAGGACGAATGTAAATCAGAATTCAAGTTTTTTGCGATAAGTTGGCACGCCTCTTAAGTACAAACACCATGAACGCAGGATACATTCATATTATTTTAGGAAACATCTAATGTCAGAGAAGAAATTGAGCAAATTTGAAATGTCTTAGAGCAAACCCTTTGCAAAATTGGCATTTAAAACAATAATTATATAAGTTCTGTGTTCTGATTTATTTCAAATATTGCTTGCTTTATATAAGTTTATGTCAGATGTTATATTTTTATAATTTGATATATTTATATATATATTCACTTATTTTTGAACGTGTAAATAGTTTTGTTAAAATATCAATATGTGCCTGTAAGCTTTACTATGCATTTCTACAACCTTAGATGATACTCAAACAGGAAAAAAACATGTCTAGAATGAAAAAGGTTTTTGTTTCAGAATTAAAATAACTTAACTACATTCAAAAGTCTTTCTGTAAATATGACAACCTAAATAGTTATAAAACAATCACAGGAAATCATAGTAGTTTAAAAACACCTTAAGTCTGACAACGGCGATTTCATTGAATTTACCAACCCGACTTGTCCGACTAATATCAGCCAGTAAATCGGTGCCGCCTGATAATGGTCAACACTAATGATTGCCTTACAATCAGTACATGTGCATACTTTAAAATCTTCTCTTAAAATAATTAATAGTCTGGAGTTTTATAAAATAAATGGGTACGAACATGTTTAGTATGGTAAGGATTATTTCGATGATTCGTGACGTTTTTGAGTAGGTTTGTAATAAAAACAAAATATTTTGAAGACATTTAAAAGATAACACTTGAATACAAGTAAGAAGAAAAATTACAAATCAAATCAATTGAAGTTTCACATCCTTATCAGAGGCTAATAATTGCATGATATTTCCGCCGAATGCTTTCAAATGCGATGTGCATGTGCAGTGTTCGCCTGATTACATCAGATAACGCCAACTTTGGAACAATTTCCTTTGGAATAACTGCGACATTTCAATGACTTTGTACGATATGATCTTTTTATGTTGCTGTCCTCAAGAAATCATGATTACAAATGTGCTATAGAGCACTAATGTTTGCACACTTTGAATTGCTTGCGTGTTATAATGACGTAGTCCTATGATCTGTAAACGTAAAACATATTCGAAACGATGTAAATGTAAGTAACAATTCGCAATGGTGCGGCAGCATGAACACAACTGCTTTGTAGTGTATATATATATATAAATAAAAGATAAGTCGTAGAAAGAGAGCACATGCATATTCAACTTTTTGATAAAGTGTATAAATGTGTATGATGATTTAATATAAACAGACAAGCCATACAAGCCTTCATCAGTGCAAAACATAATAAAATTACCGGAAGCGACGTCATAACGAAACACGCGTAAAACGCGCAAAAACCGTTATGACGTTGAGCGGCAAAAATATGATTACATGTAGAAACAAAAAGATTTATGTTATAAATAAAGCTGGTTCATGAATTTAAATGGATCAATAATGATACAGATGTCTAATAGACAGTGTTAATAAAAATAAGACAATAGATTAACATATTAATATTCATGTTACACTTTATAAATCAAACACTACTTAATTATTAAGTCCATTTGAAATGATAGTATTTAATTTATGAATCCAAAAAGATTCTTTACACAACATATCTATGTTGTTATCTATAATCTAAAATGAAATATCTGACAATGAACACTGATTTTTGGGTGATCCGAAATGGATCGCAACATGTGAAAGCGGAGTTACGTTACAATGTCTTATATCAAATCTATTTTTATTAATTCTGCACGATACATTTTGATTAGTTTGACCTACGTTTTGCTTATTACAGCCTTTACATGTAATGAGGTAAATTACATTACGTGTAGTACAGTTAACATCATTATGTAATTTAAAAGAACGACCTGTAACGCTGCTATTAAATTGTGAACCAACAATTATATTGTTACAATTTGAACATCTACTTCGTAAATATTGGCCAGATATAAATGTGCGATCAAGTAAAGCACTTCTCATAAGATAATTTCGAATATATTTTGGACGTCTTTAAGCTAAAATAGGTTTTTACTTGGTATGTATAATATCTAACGCTTTCTTTATCAGAAAAAAGTAATACATCCAAATATTTATTTAAGATTTCACCAATATTAGGCAGAGTTGTATTAAAACGCACTCTAAAAGGTATTATTGAACTAGTACTTTTAACGATAGTACTAAGAACATCATTGTGGGACATGCCTTGAAGTTTAGAAAACGTTTTCTCAATAATAGATTTAGGATAATTACTATAAAAAAAAATTTATTCAACCTTAAAAGTGCCGTCATCGGAAATGACACGTCTATAACGTTTAGCTTGACTAAACGGGATACCACGCCTTTTTTATGCCAACCTAAACTATATTGCACTTATTATAAAATTACACATTCGTTAAGAAATATTTAGGTAAAATGTCAGTTTTAAGAAATGCAACTGTAAGATCTAGAATCTATTGAAGAAATATAAATATTATAAACATGTTTAAAGTAATGTATTATTTTTACAAACATTATGTACATTAAATAAATACTATTGTACATCTTCTAATATACAAATTTTGTAATGTTTGTTAATCATAAAATTAAAATCTTGCGTTTAATGCAATATCAGTATTGTTTATTTTGTGCTGAAGTTATCATTATCGCCTTTGTTAAAATGAATACATTTATTAAAAAAACTATGTTTTTATAAATTTCTGTAATTGTATAATTCATAGTATTAAAAACCTCTGCTTTATTTGAAGATCAGATTGTTTATTAAGGCTGCAATTTTTAATAAATATGCATTTTTATAAAAATGAAATAAAAATTTATATTTAAAAGCATTCATTTTCAAATATTTATTACACTTTCTGCACGTTTTCCGTGCTTCAAATGCGTCTCTCCTTTGTGGTTAAATCAATTATAATATTGTCATTCGATTAACACGACAAAGGGACGTCAAATAAAACAAATTGTCACGAATGCTGCTTCATCACATAACCTTTATGGGAACATTTTTCATTGCAATACATATTATTGAATTACCTTTGAGATTTTTTGTTATATGATGATTGATCCGCCGATTTCAATTAAATATGTGGATATCACAATACATTTAAAATTGATACTGATGGATTTCCATGATTATATAGGTAACGAGATTTTTTGAGAATAATTAAATAAAGCTTTTTACACAGAACGACATATAAACTCATACTTTATACAATAATAATAAGATAAAGTACTATTTAGTGTTCTTGCGTCCAAAGATGGTGTGTTTTGTCAAGAAAGTTGTTTTGGAAATACTATTAGAAAATACATTTTGGGATTTGATTTTATATAATATAAGATTTTCTACAATATATTAATATTTGTTAATTGCTTTATCAAAGTCTAGTCAATATATCTTAATCTGATATAATTGCATATTTAAAAAGAAGTTGAACTTTTCTTTGATGTCCTTCATGTCGTATGCTTTTATCAGGTTATTTTCCTTTAAGTGGCTTAAACACATATCAGAAAACATGTATAATCCACATAACTACTGTATCGTAAGAACGTCCATGTGTCTGTCTGTCTGTCCGTCACAAAACTTGCCCGGACTTATCAAAAACTACTAATTCAAAAGCAAATCCCATCATAACTTTACAGGAGTGATCTTTAGTCTAGTTGTGCATATCGTCAGCAGTGTTGATTGATTTTTGTCAGAGTTATGACCCCTAATTTTTATTTTTAAAGATTCTTTGAACTTCTCTGATACATCTTATCTTATTTGAATGAAACTTCAGGTCGAAATTGAATAGAATATAATCGAATAGAATAGAATAGTAGGTCAATTACTTGCGCATATTTTCCGGTTGGATTAACTAATTTTGGCAGAGTAACGGCCATTGAATAAAAAGCGTTTATTGCCTGTTTGTGATTTGTGTGTCGCTTGCTACACAGATGATGATACATGCTACAAAGTAGCCAGGGCCATAAATGAACGCAATTGCTAAAACAATAATTCCAAATTATGTGTATGAAAGAAATATGGAAGATTATAACGGTAAAAGCGAATGCAATATTTACAAATCATTCAGCTTTCTTATAATAGGATCAAAATATCCTTATCCTGTTAACAAACACTTTTCCTCTGTGTTAAATAATTAAATAACAGAGACATACAAAGTTAAAATGCTTTTGAAATGGTAACAATTTATTTTTACTGTTGATATATTTTGTAAAATAATTCCATTATATATAGCTTTTAACCCTTTAGAATATCAGATTAAAATGATCAAGCGCGAGTTAAGGTCTTTGAAATGCAAACACTATCTACATCAACTGGCAACGATTTTATATTATGGATATAAATATTTATATTTTAAAACAATGCTTCTTTTCTTCTTTTCTTAATAGACTTTGAATCATTAACCAACTCACTTTACCTGAAGCAAAATGAAATTAAAATGCAGAGCGTGATTTCTCAAGAGTAATAATTTTGAATTTAGTGATTTTTTTGTTTGTGACTTTCATGTTTGAGAATGGTGTACTTTTTGTACTATATTTGTAATAACTGTAAGTGCTTTTACACTATAATCAGTTTTTGAATTACTTTGAAATTCTTAATCATTATATCCTTAATGTTATATCATGACTTAGCTTTGATTAAAAAATCGATTTTATAAACATACAAAGTATTTTAAAACATATCCATTACTTTTTGATTAAAATTTCAACTATTCAATTTATTATTCTTATGTGAAAATAATGCTTACATTTGTCTCCATGATGATATCTAGAAAGGCCTATTAGCACAATGCTTTTATTTTTATGTCCTATCTTTTGTACTCATTATTTATTTGTTTGTTTGTTTGTTTATCAATTTATTTAGTATTAATTTTTATTTATTCATTTATTTATTTTCATTTACTTTTTTGCTTGTTATTTATTTATTTATTTATTCGTTTGATGTTTTTATTAATTTGGTGTCCTCTTATCTAGCTCTTGCCATTGGTTCCTTAACATTTATTATAAATTTTAATATATAGTATTTTGCATGTTTTTCAAAATTTTAAAATTACTTTCACTTTCAACGTTTTTTTGCACAGATGATAAATATTAAACATGCTCTAAACACACTTGTTTCTAAATATAATTAAACGCATTTTTTTTCTGTCCAAAGAAGGAAACATTTATTCGTGTCTGAGGCATAATCTGCGTTAACAATCAACTACAATATGACGAATCGTATAAACATTTTGATGACCAGTGATGACTATGAGTTTTTGATTAATGTGATAACATTTATCTATAACTCATTTATACATATTTATTCTTTTCCAGTTGCTGTCCTTGTAGCAAGCGTGTTTTCCCTGATCCTAATAGCTTGTGATAGGTTCTTCGGAATCGTTTTTGCCATGAAAGCGCATATAATTGAACGTAAGGCTAGTACATCCATCGTGATTATTTGGATATGTGCCATTGCCGTAGCAACACCGCTTCTCATTGTTCGAAAGCTGGAATCAGTAACCTGGCAAAACCATGTTGAAATATGGTGTGATGATGATTGGCCATTAAAGATTACAGAAAATCCAGACACAGGAATGACGGAATATTCCCGTCCAAGTAGAAAAGCATATTACACAGTGTTGACAGTGGCTTTATATTTTCTGCCCATGGTATTCATGGCTGCAATATATAGTTTAATAATATTGACAGTTTGGTTTGCTCGGTCTCCGGGAGAAAGAGTGTCAGGCAAAGAAATAAAACTTCAAAAACGAGTAAAACGAAAGGTATGAAAATACGATGGAATCCAGCAAGTCTTATTTCGCATACTTAATATTTATCATGTAATATATTCTTGAACATTTTGATAGTATCAAATGGCTGACTTAAATAGCAATTAATGCTATATTGACATAAAAAGTCAAATTTAAACACTTTTATACATTGATTATGTATACGTTTGGCATAACAATCAGCAAATCACCGTTGGTAATGAAATTGGTAAAAAATTTATTAATACACATTCATGTAATATTATGAGGTTATTTATTATACATTGTTAAACACATTCTGAAAACAATTTAATGAGTACACAGGTGTCAAAAGTTATTGGACTAGGCACTAGTCTGATATAGGTTTTGCAGCTGTGGACGAGTTCAATAGAATCAGTATTATTGTTCTCATTCATTTCACATCACCTTTCTTGACATTTTGATAGAACTTTGTTAATTCATTTGCAATAAAGATTTAATACATTCTTCCTATATCAATAGGCTAGATGCGGTTACATTTAATTAAGATATTTTGGACTCTCAAAATTAAGCTATCATATGGATTTGATATGGACTTTTTGAACTCTGGAAATGTAAACGAGGCTAAATTGATATGATTGGATCTGATAATGATTTCTTTAGGAACATCACATGGTGCAAATATTTAAAGTGCATTTGGTTATATTTTGTAATGCGTGAAATGCAATTTAATATATCTCAGTTATTTAAAAATTGCAATTGATTGTTTGAATGGGTATTAAATAAAAGTATTAAATGCCGATTGCTCTACTTTCAGTGTAACTATTTACTCATTGTATTTCAATCGTACCACTGTTTTAGTGTTTATAGTAATATTGCCATTATTACAATGATATTATTCTCTATTGAATAAACACTTTTTTTCAGGTTGTGAAGATGCTTATTATCATCATGACAACATTTGGCCTGTGCTGGATGCCACTAAATATCAATATATTATATATAGAGTTCAGAACAAACAAATCGGCTCCGGTAATATTGTTGTTTCTATTATAATTATTATTATTATTATTGTTATTTTCATTATCATAATTATTATTATTATTATTGTTGTTGTTGTTGTTTTTATAATAATTATTTATCTATTCATTTTTCCCGTTTTTTTCTTGTTTTTTTCTTGTTATTATTATTATTATTATTACTATTGCTGCTGTTACTGCTATTGTTACTACTTTTCTATTTATTTATTTTATTTAATTATGTATTTATGTATTTTATTATTTATTTATTCATCTATTTATTCCTTTTTTCTTGTTTATTATTGTTATTATTGTTATTATTATTATTATTACTACATGTATTTCTATTGTTATTTATTTATGCTAGCTAATAAAGGATCGTCTGATAAATTCTACATAACTTTTAGTTTCCTGGTACCGCCTCCGTGGTCGAGGGGTTAGAGTCGATGACTTCTAATCCAGTTACCTCTCTGGCGTGGGTTCGATCCCCGGGAGATGCTTTGGTAGTTTAGCGCGGAGGAAGGTAGTCTAGTACTGGTGTAACTCTCCAGGAACGATGGTTAGGAAACTACCCGCCTATATGACTGAAATACTGTTGAAAAAGGCGTAAAATGAAACAAACAAACAAAAAAATTATTCGTTGCGTGTAGATATATGGTACCTTCATGGGGAATAGGAAACACAGTCATGTATTGTATCATAATAACTTGTAGTATCATGAAAACTTTCACCATATATGAATTGTGTAAATCAAATTATTATGTTTTCAAATATTTCAGTTACCCTCGTGGTATGACATTCTACAATTCATATCATATACGATTGCCTATGCTAACAGCGCCCTGAACCCGCTGATATATGCCGGTTTCAATGAAAACTTTAGAAAAGGTACGTTGTCTTTAACAATGATTGAAACAGACATAAAGGCTACATACTATTTGTTTGAATGGAAGTGAGAACAAATACAAATTTGTTTATTCAAACTGGAAATCTTTATTGTGGCAATTGTATCAGATTTAGATTTAGACATCAATCTTCATTTTCGAATATTGATTCCAAATGAAACGTTCGCAACATAAGCTTCTGACAAAGACAAAAAAGAGTTCAAAAAAGTACCTATGTAGAAATCATGTGCTCTTTTGTCTTGTCAGATTTAATTATAATTTAAATGCATATTTGCTTATTACAATATCGAACTATTGATGAAGAAAGTCTAGTTTATAATTTATAACAACAGTCGTAGAATATACTTGAATATTTATTTCCATCAAGAAACATTTTGCACGACATTCCAGAAGTATTTAGAAAAGAAAAAAATCTTAAAATCGACATTTTTTCTCATTTGTCAACTTCGTACAATAAACAGTAATTGAAACAGAATAAATTATCGTTGGCATATTATTTACATGTACTGTACATTTGTTTTAAAATAATATATTGCTTATAGGTTTATCATTTCAGGGTTTCGTTCCTTATTTGGATGCTACGAAAGAAAGTTGTACGCCGCAATATCTCGAGCGGATTCCATGTATAACACTTCAACAAGTAACATGACCCATGCGACAAAACTTCAAACAACCGATGTACAAGCATTCAGGCTTGACACCTGCTCACCAAATCAAATGTCAAGTCAAAGTGAATAAGTTTTAGCGAACAAAGCATATCATTATGTAGTCATTTTTCGTTTTTCATCGAATCCTAAATGTTTTCACCTATATCACCCAGAGTCAAATCATTAAGTCAGTCATTGATTGATCGTTTATATCTTCTTGTGCGGTGTTCCTGGGTACTATGATCAAACCTTTATTTGTAATACAAATATAAAACAATTAACAAGTTCACCCTTATTAATGTTGATAGATATTTGTCACATTAATATTCTATGACTTGTGTTAAATTAAATATGTTGTTAAAGACTCAAGAGAATGTTGTTGAACACTGTTGGATATCACCGCCTAAAAAGCTTATATAAGTTAACTTTAAACTATTATGTGTGTGAGAATAATAATAGCTTATGACCACTTGGTTTGCCTTTTAAAAGCTGAAGAAGGTATATACACCTCTTTTTAATGAGTCGTGCATTTCTTGATCTGGCCGGATTTTAACGAAGATATATACAGTCATGTACAATCCCATTTCGAGCATGCGCAAAAGTGTACGGATACATGTAACCAAAGAAAGGACAAAACGCACACCCTAGTGTATATGAGAAATAAAAGTAATAATTATGAAAAGAAATAACAAGTTATATTATTTACCATGCGCTACAATATTTATTATTATAATAACTATAACCCGTTTTGAATCTTTACCAAACGTTAAAAGAAATACCTCAGTCAAAGAAATATTCTTCAAAAAGTTTAGCGTAAAGTTAACTGTTATATTATGAGAATAATGCCGGCTCGCCACGGCGAGCCGGTATTACGATAGGATTTTACTAAGAAACAACCTAAAACTCCGAATCCATCCAAAAATTTAATCGAAGCTTGGCTTCCAGCTTTCTACAAAATTTATCTATCAAAGCTAGGTTCCAAAATTATTTAGCCAATCAAATTTAATCTTACATAGCGTCAAAAAACCTTCAATTTTCACGCCATTTTTAAAAAGCAGCAAGTATTATTTTGAGCGCAAAGATATAATGATGATTAAAATGTTTGTTTTCATGAATTCTTTTCAATAAATCATATTTACACTGACTTTTGATTTCGCGATTTCACCTGTTCCTCTGTAGTAAGTTTTCGTTTGGTTAATTAACATAAGTGTACATCTGGTTCTTTCCTTTTTTCCGGTCTCCGGTATTAAGTGTATATATTTACTGGCCGGGATCCGGGACGCCCCGGATTGGCCGGGATGCGGGATCGTATAAGATATAGAGGAAAAACTAATAAACTATATTTGTGTTGATTATTGTCGTAATGAAAGGCCATTAAACGTTAAGTTTTTTTTATTGTATGTAATGAACGTTAAATTAATTAAACTTAGGATATAAATATATTTAGAGCTATTTATTAACAAACTTAAAATGCGGAAATCACAATACTTATAATTATATGCCTATTTAATTGAAATCAAAGACTACATTCTTGAATTAGTCAAATCCCGGGACCCCTTTATGTTTTAATGCGATCCCAGCTTTTCTGAAAACTACATTCTTGAACTGGCCAATTCCTGGGATCTCTTTATATTTTAATACGATCCCGGCTTTTCTGAAAACTAAATTCTTGAACTGGTCAATTCCTGGGATCCCTACATGTTTTAATAGGATCCCGGCTAATCTGAAAATCATCTTAGACTGGTCAATTTCCGGGGTCCCTTTATTTTTAATAGGATCCCGACTTTTCTGGCTGAATTGATAGACAACTTGTGTTTACTTTAGGACTTGTGTCTGTCACTCATTCCAATACTAAACAACATTTTACGACTTAACTTCGTATAAAGAGACATCTTTTTGAATTCTACCTATTTAACATTTATTTGGTCAAGGTCAACAGGCCATACAGTAAATGTGCATAGACACAGGGACTTCATTCTATCTGTTTTACATGCATATTCATATATACTCATATTCCTTTTTCTTAAACTGAGAGAACTTTTTACATTTAAACGCACCCCTGGAAAAAAATTACGAAGCGAGTCGCTACTAGCTTTTTTAAAAGCTAACCTTGTTTATGAATTTAAGTTGTAGTTTTTTTTACTCCGACACCTGTAACAAAAACGAATGGCAATCGACAAAGTTTATTCTTTAAAAGTATTTTTATACACTAATTTGTGTTTTGTTTATGTTAGTTTATAAGACACACTGAAGTTCTTTTAAATACCTCTAATTCTTGGAATAAATCTTTACTCTTCTGGCGGCAAATATTTCTATTCATGCGGTCAGTGCACAACAAAGTCACCCAACATATCTGTGTCAGCAATGTCAGCATTGATCGCTATTCATTGAGTACCTATTTTGAGTTTTACTTAAAAATGATGATTGTTACGTTCAGAATGATAGATGGATGAAAAAAGCGAGGTAAGGGTTATACAAAACTATGATCGTAAAACTTAAATGAATATGTCTTTGTTATTCAAATAAACAAAATCATGAACACTGAGTCTTGTTTTGTTTTATTTTTCGTCAAACTGTATCAAACATAACTACATGTACATCATTTACATGTATGATTATATTCCACTTTCCTCATAATTATTTTACAAATATTGCATTAACTGCTAAGCCTGCTACAGATATTGTAAAATAACAAACATTCCAAAATTATTTGATACATGTGTTATAAACTATCAACTACAAAATTATAAGATAACAAAGGATTATTACTTACTTATAGGTAGTTAATTGCCAACATGAAATTCAAACTTCCAGCATTTCTGTAGGCAGACCTCAGACACCCCTCCGCCCATGTATTGTTCATACCGAAGCCTGAGTGGGACACTTTATTTTAAATCATTTCTGTTTCATTTGACTGTACGGAAAAAAATTTGAATTAAGAAATTAATTTCTTAATACTATATAACGCTTGATGCATAGCCGATGACGTTTTTAAAAGGAATGGTATGTACATGTTATTTGGAAATACTGGTATTTTATCGGTAATAATATTTTACAGTATAACTGAATGTGTTCATGATTTGATAACGCAAATCTCTATGATTATATAAAGTTATATTTATCTCAAGAACCGAAGTTATTTGGACGAGATAACTATAGCAAAATTATATGACATTGTAAATCTGCAACCTTTCTTAGTATTATCATACTGAAATAGACTTACTCAAAAATTTAGCATATTTTGTTTTTTTTTCACCTAGCTAATCCGTAGGTGTAAACCTTTACAGAAAAGCTCCAAAAATAAGCGTAAAAGGTTAACTAATCTATTGTGAGAGGTTATGCACCGTGAAGCTATAACTGTAAACTGTTTTATCTGTACCTACGGATTAGCTGTGAAAAGAAATCACACGTTTGCCGAGGTTTGGATAACATATATCGCAAAATATTGTGAAATCATTGAAGACAGACACTGTTATTGTAACATCTTGATAAGTACAATATATGAGACGAGAAAGAGCAATGTTCAATGAAGGCAGCAACCACAATATAAATCAACATCAAACGGGCGGCATTAAAAATCTGCATACTGTAAACATACGCTCTCCAACACGATTTAACCAATACATTTTCATACCTTTCTGAGGAATGTAGACAATACCAACACGTAACAAGCATTTAAAATAAGAGAAAAAAATTAAAAATATGTACATTTGTGTATTTTAGGCAAAAATAAGGCCTAGCTTTTGATTGTGGTTTTTATTGATCTTTGCAGTCTTTGTCTACTGACTGTGTCAACTCGTAAAATTGCCAATCCCGATATCTTATCTAACAAGATGTTTATTAGGTCATAAAGGTGAAGGAAGATAATGGAAAAGCAAATCAGTTTACTCATTTATTTCTGTGTTTTGTCCAAGAACTAGATATATACAAACGTCAGGGAAAACAATTAAACTTATTCAACAAGGCAAGATACTTGTATTTGTATCAAACGGCTTTTTAAGCACATTTAAACAAAAAGGAGCATTAATTTGGAACACAATGTGAAACATTTATATCAAACCGACATATTTTAAATGTATAAAGTATGATAGCATAAATATTCAAGGAAAGTCAACGTTCCCAGAAGAAAGTTCACATTATTATTTCACCCTGTTAAAGATTGCCTTAGACATAATATAGATAATATAATTATCAGAAGAAAAAATGGATCAAACAGTGCAGATTTGGAAACGTTGCATTAAGCCTTTTCCTTTTTACCAAAGCATTGGTTAGTGCAAGCTATCTTCAAAGCGTTCTAGAAAGGTCTTTTAAGTAACTTTAACATACATGATAATGCATATAAACGGTTAAAAATGAATTGAGGAACATCTGCAGATGTGTTTATACGGCGGTAATCATTGGCTCTTCAATGAGAAAATTGTGTGTCTTTTATAATGATTGTAAAACGGCGTATGGTGTAAGCATACGTGTTCAGTGTGTTATAATGGTAATAAATAGATAAATCTGTGTACAAACAAAGTTACTAACAGCATTTAAATTTTACTTCAATAAGAAATAGTTGAAAAAATATCCATTTATTTATTTACATGAACATATAATAAAAATTCAAAGCGAAGAAGTTGTATATAAAATTAGAAATGCTTACATATAAAATGTGTTTTTCAGATATTATCCATTCATGTGGGTACATACGTCTACGTCAGTGTTCGCTGAGCAGTATACAAGTTTAATTTAATGAGCATGCAATCTTGAAATAAATGACACAGGGATTCCGCTTACTAAATGCGTCTTTACCTTTGTCCAAATCAGGATTACTTATAGACTAGAACCCTTGATGAATTTAGTAAAACAATGCTTTTTCATGGTTTAAGTGAACAATGCTATAAAAAAAGCCTAGACTTACATGTGAAAGTATATAATGAAATTTCTTTAACAACAGATAAAATAAAAGCAGAAGTAGGAAGTGCATTAAATTTTATAAGACGTATATATTTTATGACTTCTGATCCATTTAATTGATTAATGTCTCCTGGAATCGGAAGTGATTAGCTTAGTATGCATCTGGTCCGTCTGACCAGGCCCTATACAGTGGGAAGCTCGTTTGCATTTTTAAGTACCACTTATGAATAGGCTAAATATACAAATCTTGCAACATTTTCAATTTTGCCATTTTTTAATGTTCTTTAGGCATTTCCCCATTCCTCTATTTTAACGTCTCATCCGTCTTGTTTGTGTCGTGTTGAGGCCGATAACAGGTTGCCCTGTACATTCAATCCGAGATCAGATTATTGTGGACCGATTAGTACGGGATTATTGTTGTGTAAGTGGCACTTTTAGGTCGCCGGCGCGACCGTGTTACATTGTAGGTTACATAATCCCTACCGTATAAATACATATGCAGTTGATTCTAAATTTAAATAACGTGGACTAGATGTTGATCTCTCTTTAAGCAAGGGATGTGGTCGGTAGCTGCCAATTTCCAGTACCGCCCATTAGAACGAACGCTCAATCACACTGTTTCCAACGCTCTTAATGGAAGAGTGTTTACTATGATATTCAATGATAGGATTCCAGTTTTGAAAAGAATATTTGTTGAGATAATGCTTTCCAACGTTTTTCTTATCCTATAATCTTTTTATCTGTCTATTATACATAAAGTAATTTTCGCTACCATATAACAGTAAACTATTGCAACAAAGTATCATCATCATTAATACTCAGTGTAATATTTCAGCACCAGTAATATTTACGCTATTTTAGCAATCTAATCCATCAACGTTGAATACAGAATTTGCAATATATTTCATATCGTGTCATGTTTATCTAAGTGATTGCTTA